AATGTTGTTAATGAGTGTAATGTAATGTGTTTAGGAAGCCATCTTTCATATTATTTTGTTTTTCTTTTCATCATATCATGCCAAAATCTGTGTACATGCATTTTAAATCAGGCGATATGTATGGCTATTTTGTATTGATTTGTGTACTACTACTTTAATATTTACATACAGTTACTTGCTAAGATATTGTGATCCGGTATATTCCATGTGTGGTGATATATAATGCTTTATTTGAAAAGTAGGGGAGGTAGATACAGCTGTATTGAGTTATGCATTATTTCCGTTGTTGTATCCCTTTAGTTAGTATTCAGATTCTATGTAAATATGTGTGTCCGTCTCGTCCTTGTGAAGCCGAACAGTTTGAGTTTTTCTGTCACTGTAATTGGGGTGTCATATTTTGTTTTCCTGTCCGTTTCATTTAATTTTGGATTTCTCAACATGTATTTTGCCCCCACTGCCTATCCCGTATTCTATAAATTTCTCTGTTATTGTTTTCATTTATTTGCTCCGTCTGTTGTTAAACATTGGTGTCGTCATTATGTGCTATACTTTATTTTAATATGGATGTCCAGTCTATTACTTTCTAACATGGGCTCTATGCTAAGTTTGTGGAGTAGTGAGAAAGTGAGGTAGGGGTATTGATTGTTATATGTGTTTATTTATTTTTTATTTATTATTTTTTATTTTACTTTTTTGGGGGGCGGGGGTGGAAGGGGTTGTGGGAGACTGTAATCGTATTATTTTATCTCCTTTATTTTACATGTACAAAATAATAATTATGGATTGCAACTAAAAAATAAAATAAATACTTTGTTTCTAGCCCCCTAATTCAACTTACGATCATTACAATTGGTATATGTTGTTGATACATGAACACAATATGCAGAAGTCAAGTTTGAAGCGGGTCACATATATGATATAGTATACAGGCATATAACTGAGATCTGGATCATTAAATGAGTTCATGTTTAAGCTATGCAAAGCTGAAAGAAACTAGACGGAGTAGTCAAACTTTGTCTAAGATTAATGTTTATTATGTACAATATTTATACTATACTATGTTTAACGAATACATGTATTCCAGGCCATAAGCCCCGTGCATACAATTGTCAAATAGTCGTCAGATCTCATTATGACGTGTGGTCATTACAGTTGCTGCTAATTGCTATGGAAGTTTTAATGTTACTTTATTCGGTAAAATTATCGTTTCTACAAATGACAGGCGCAAGACATTTGCTTTAGTAAATTAGTTTTTTACAGCTGCCTCCCTTTCAAATGATCTAATTCGAAATTAGACGTGTGTGGAAAGGGGTGAGGGATACTAAAATCTAATATTGTTAGGACGTCATAAATTGATGAACCCTTATGAAGTAACACAAGTCTACATACAATTCAATAAATAACTCTTTGTATTTATACAATTAAAATAACCGTTTAACAATTTAGTCCATTTCATGTTTTGTCATAAAACAAAAAGACTAGTTCTGAATAAGATGATCTGACATGATTTATGTAATATATTGGAAAATCTACCATCTAAGCATAATATGAGTATATAGAGTTAGCTGCCATCTGCACTCACTCATCGGAACTCCCGATTTCCATTAGGCGCTATGCAATGACCAGTTTCACACAGAAACAAAACAAAAGTACCGTAGACTTTCATAGCTTTTCTATTATATTATGTATGAGTCATTGTGTATACCTACGTATAAAATTTGAGATATATTCAAATTTAGGTGGAAAAAAACAACTCCTTGCGCTGCCCCCCCCCCTTTTTTTTTTTTTACAATCATTTGCCGCTGCTTGCACTCCATTAGCAGTCTGTTTCAAGCTAATTAATCATATTAATAATGAACATTTTTTTTCTTCAAATTATGCAATAGATTTTATGAGTATATTGTTGAAAAGATGAAGTATTTCGATTGTCATTGGATTTAAAAATAAAAACATTACTGCTTTCCATGCTTGCGAATACATATACATAATAATATTTACTTAAGAAATGACCCATCAATTTAGCTTTTCTTAATAAAAGACTTAATATTGTATCAAACAGTTTCTAAAATGTTTTTTTTGTTACATTATTTTCAACCGAGTTATATTTCTAACTAATTATGCACAATATTTTAAGTTACTTCCCCTGATAAATTTTAAAACTGGAATTGGAGAAATTGTGAAGCACTAGAATTTTTTTTTAAGTACAATAATGTAATCGCCAAATAATATAGATCTACAACCCAATAATAAAGGTATATTATAAATTCCCCCTCCCCTCGATTAGAACCCACAAACAATATACATAAAACAATTAGCTTTAATCTTGGTTGATTTTAAATGTCGGACGTTTTTATGCAGTCTAGTGAAGAATATTAATTCTTGATTTTGTTTTTTTTAATCTCTGTCAAGCAAAAATACAATTTATTTTTCTCATTCACTTGAATTTCTCATTATTTAATAGTTTAACGATGTACCGTATTTGCAATGATTGCTAATGAGAAAGATATCTGAAGATATTTTTATTTGGTTAGTCAGAGTGTGATAACAACAAAATGAACAGTGTCGCTATCTTGGACTCTTCGTCAATTTTTATTGACATCAGGGTCAAATAATACCAAAAAAATTTAGAAACAAAAATACAAAAAGGAAAACATTTGAAGATAAGTCGAAACATTGATTAATCTGACGTTATTGCCTGCCTATAAAATATGTAAAATACACATTTATTTATTTCAAAATATGTAATCATACACATATTTTAACAACTAAAGAAAATATAATTAGACCTTTTTTTCAGATCGTTTTTTTTTTTTACTTTTGTGTTAGATAAAATACAGGTTATATGCGCCATGGATGTTTGTGGTTAGGACAAGGAAAATGTCTGATACAATATCCAAATATATGCCCTACAAAAGTTCATATTTGTTAGTTGCTGATGATTGTCCTAATGATTAGTCTTAAAAGATTTGTATGACCTCTTGTATTTGTTGGTTGTTGATGATTGTCCTAATGGTATGTTCTCGAAGAATTGCGTGACCTCTTGTCTTGATGTCTTTTGTTTAACCCAAGTCAAGTCAATGAAATGAATGATTACAGAAGGAGATTACATGTTTATTGCGATCATTCTATTAGAGCGTTGAATAGAGCGAGGGATGTGCAAGTGAATGAGTGATAGTTGTTTTTGTTACAAGAGCAATATTTACACAATTGAGAAACAACAATACATGTATTTAGATGTTTGTAATTGAAAACAAAATGTTTACATCCTTACACATAACAACCGTCTACGGACAATTGATAGTCAGGATATAGTTGGTAACGATTAAAACTCAGTTTCTCATTGTTATTGTAAAAACCGTCCTTACATATTATTTATGAACCTGTCTCTTACGTCATATTCATATACTTAACGATCCGTATTTGTTTGCTCCTGCGTATTTTCTAGTTTACTATTAACAGTAGTTTATTCGTGTTTTGCCTAGATTTGGTCCATTTCATTAAAAGGGACTCAGACACACTCAGTGTAGAATACATATCATCAATTTATTGTGTAGCAGGTCTTGTGATACACCAAAGTCGAAATCTTTTCTCTTTGTTTTTACTTTAACTTTTTTTTGTTGTTATTACTATATATTTGTCGAATCTTGTTTCACCTCGAATTATTTAATTAGATTTAATGTATATGTTTTTGTAGCTTTTATCTCAAGATGTTGGCGTCTAAAAATAGCTAGACTGACATGTTCTGTGTTATTGTAATTGTAGTAACTGGACCTACTAAACGTACAACTCCCATATACTTTTTTTTAATACTAGATCAACTGAACTAAACACCATAACACGAAAACTGAACAATTCATTCGTACTTTAGTATGGGAGTTTTTTTTAATTAAAAAATATGTTCAGTTGACATATTATGTTCACATAGATGTTTAGTTGACGGGCTGAGGACATTTTCTGTTTGACATCCCGCGTATAAGTGACATATTTTGTTAACATGCGATAGTAAAGTTTATTTCATACCTGACGTTGAAGTAGAGTTCACTTGTTTCTGTGACATCGTCATACAAAATAATAGAGTGTTCACTTCTAACCAAAACCGTCTTTACTTTCCGAGACGTGAATGAGGTGTCAACAAAAGCTAAGGGCTCGGGGTGTTCTACGGACATAGACCCGAGTTTAAAGATAGATACAGTTGGGTTAGCAGTCGTATGCTCTAACATCCATTATTACCGTCAATAGTTACTTCATTTATCAGACGTAACCGCAGTTGTTGACTAGGTGAGTTGAATCCTTTGGGTTAGAATCTATTCCAGACAAACTCATTTTTGTTTAATTAATATTCCTATTATTTTTTAAATTATATTATTAAATAGATAGGCCTAGATATACAATCCATAACTAGCATAATTTAACAAACTTATTCTAATGTTATTGAAAAGTGTAAGCGAACATAATGCAGTTTTCCTTAATTGGAAAAAAAAAAGAAAAACCAAAAATCTTAAATCAAAATACACTTACTTAAACATTTCATATTTTCTTATAAATGTACGATTTAATTGTTTAATTACTGTTTATTTATTTGTTTACTGTTTATTTAATTCAAATCGTTTACATGACTAGTTTATGAAGTGTATGATTAATGGTGTCACCCCCCTCCCCAGAGGCGTAGCAACCCTTATATGCAAGTATGCAAGTATGGGGCGACACCATTAAGTGCCGCACCGGGTGACACCCGACCTCGCTACTGCCTTTAATATAATATGTTCATTTAAGTTATGTTAACCTCGAGTTGTGACTACACGGACCATGAGGTAACATCATCAGTTCGTTAACATTGTTTACATTTTTCACTCCTACAAGTAGTAACGAATTTTTTATTCTTTTCAAAATATGTTCTATCCTACGTTATTATTGTTGTTCTATTTTTTATTTGTATTGCCTTATTTTATTCTTAGGCATAAAATCTAACACATTTATATTGTATTTGCTAATACACCTTACTATTTAAGTAATGGAATAAACACGTCTTTCTTAACATTTAAGTCTACAAGATGTGTCAAAATATTTAGCAGTTCTCCAATGCTTTCATCGATGACACTGCTGTTAATCAAACGTTCATATTTTTGCATAAGTATTATGGCATTCTTTTCCTGTTCTTTGGTAAAACCCGAGTCATTGGGTAAAAGACACATAAAACCTCTCAAAACAGATTTATGTTTTAGCAATCTGTCTCCTATTTGACATATAACCGAATCAAGGAAAGGAATAAATACAGCTATTCTGTAATACTCTTCGGGCGTATTTGCCATAACATTGCAGCGTTGAATTTGTTTTCCAGCTCGACGTGGAATAAGTATATCTATGTCGAAGTCCTCACAAAAGTCTTTGACTTCATTAAATACGGTTGTAAATTCTGATTCAGCATCCTTCCGCATATTCACAAGTAGGCTACTTGAATCTTCTGTAAATTTTAGAGCCGCAGATAGATCAAAGTTTTCTGTTTGGAGTATTCTGCTGACAGGAAGTGTTATTGCAAAGATTTTTGAGATAACTCTAAGAGAAACTTGAAACTCAAGACTCCTAATTGCTCCTAAAAGTTGAACCGCTGTTGAAGAAGTTGTTGTATCGTGCCAGGATGACATAATTTCCAGTGCATCAACAGTTGCTTTTTGAAGCTGTATAAAAACGTTGACAGACTCATGACGCTCAATCCATCTGGTTGCGCACAATCGTTTAAGTCGAGATGCTGATGCTTTAGGTGTTAATTTCTCTATTGAATTTGCAAGCAAAGATTGTCGTTTTGGTGTGTTAAAAAAGTTGTATGTACTATTAAGAATTCCCATACAGTTTCTCACAGCTGGTAGTTCGCAGGCATCAGAAAGTGCTAGGTTTAGACTGTGAGATGCGCAATGCACGTAAATAGCCAAATCAAATTTCTCAGCAACATATTGTTGCGCCCCATGAAGTCGACCACTCATTGCAGCGGCTCCATCATATCCTTGACCTATCATAAAATTACCGTCTATGTGTAAATTTGCTAGAGTGTCCATTAAAACATTTGCAAGTCCTTTGCCTGTTAGATCAGTTACACCTACAAACTGTAGGAAATCCTCCCTTATTTTCTTTATGTCGTTATCATAGTAGCGAACACACAACGAAAATTGCTCCATACCAGCTATATCACTAGTTTCATCGGCTAAGACAGAAAACAATTTAACAGAAGTAATTTTCGCAACAATCTTTTGAACAATTAATTTATTGCACACATTTATCACTTCATTCTGAATGGTGGGACTTAAGTATCTTGCATTTTTTGAAGAATTTTCTAGATGATGTTTAAGTGTTTCGTCTCCACCCATGTCTTTGTATCTCAAAAGAGCTCGAAAATTTCCATCATTTTCGTCAGGATCCTCCAACTGAAAATTTCCGAAATCCCTGTGCCCCCTAAGTGCAAGACCTTGTCGGCCGCAAAAAATTATAGTTTCTATTATGGGCGCTAACCTTAAACGATTTTCTAGAATTTGTTGACTTACTGATGAGTTCAAGGCGATGTTAATAGGTTATATTTTTTTCTCCATAACCGATTTACGATTTTGGGAAAGTAAAATTGCTCTTTTATGATATTCACATTGCTGGTGCTCATTAAACTTGTCTGTTGCCTTTTTCTAGTTTGAAAATGGAATTTTTGATAACTTACCTAAAGGCTGACTACCTACACCACCATAATTTAAACTAAACAAAACACAATATTTGCAAAATGCGCCATCAAGTAATTTGGAATAAGTCAACCAGTTCCACCTAAGTAGCCACGAATATTGAAACTTTAAATTTCTTTGTCCGCTTGCTGGAAATTTAAAAAGTTCTTCGGGGCGCCAGATGTTTTCTAATAAATACAACCGTGTATCATCTGTAATAACTCCTTTGATAAAATTGCCGATATCATTTGCATAAGAAACAGTCAAAGGTGCTGAATTTATGGAAATTTCTTGATGTAATGTAGTTTGAGAGTCAATAGTACCATCTTCATTTTTATCATTTTCAGTTTTATTTTTCTTTGTAAAGAAATCAGTTAATAAAGTAGTTTTAAATTTCCTTTTTCCATCCGACATCATTAAAATGAATTTAAATTGCTTTAATTATCAAAAAGATACACATTAAAACACGACAATGCGAATAAGAAAATAAATAATTATTGGTCTTTCTTTTCTGACTGTCTAAAAATGACTACTGTAGGTCCCTGGCTCTACATCTATATTTAACCGCCTACGCAGTTTTTATATCTACCAACACTAAGTTTTGTGTCAACAATTTTGGGTCCAGCCCACGCTTTCCTGCCAGATGTGCATCCGGTAGTAATTGAGACGTACCCATATTCAAACCCTCCCTCACCCCCCCCCCCCCTGTCACACCCTTTAACTGATAACCTTGTGTCCTCTGCCATCTTTATCATTTTCAGTTTACTTATCTTTTTAAAAATTAAATAGTTTTCAGTTTCCCTGTTTCATCCGCCATTAGTGAAATGAATTTCAAATGTTTTGAAGTAGTAAAAACATACACATTATAGAACCTCAATGCGAATAATAATCAATTCCTTCGTTGTTGTTTTTTTTAAAATTTCTAGGCGCTTTCCGGTTGCACTACAATCATATTAGACAACAAAGGCCTACCCACGTAGCCCACCCCTCCCCATTCGACACTCCTTAACTGATCTAACCTTGGCCAACTTTCCCTTGGCCTACTGCGTTCCAGATTATTATACTTAACTTTAGCACGATAATAAAATTCATTACTAAATTCTACAGGCAATTCTCATCACAATGATATACATTGTTGTTCTAGAGGCTGCCAGGTTAAGTGTTTAGTGTTTAAGCCCTAAATAATATCGACACAAGTCAATAGCTGTAGCTTAACGTAAAAAGGTAGTCATATTGGGGGTACATGGGGAGGGGGGGGTTATAACCCCCCCTAACCCCCCCTGCCTACGCCACTGTATGCCGTCATGTTTAGACGATCCCTTATATATCTGGTACTCTGTTGTAAGCGAAAGATGCATATGGTTCAACACATTATGCGCTATATTTTTAATAGTGAAGCCAAACATTACGCATTACCAAGAAAAGGATGATAATGTACATAATTCTTGGTAATTTGAAGAAAATTTTCTATTCTAAAATCAAATGGGAAATAAATGTGAGCGGGTGAATGGATTATTTTGTATTATTTTATTTGTTGCGAATCTGGGAGTGCATGGTGGTCCAATGGGGAACAGCACGGGGTCCCCCTTCCGTCCGAAGCGGTCAGTATAAATTGACCGCTCGGGCGATTTTCTTCCTTTTTTTGACCCGCGGCGAGATGTAGGTCGGGTCAGGTTTCTGTGTGGGCGCGTGGCGCACCTCACGCGTGGAGGTATTTGCTTTTTTTACTTTATCGTTATGTGCTTTGTATGAATGCGACTGTCGATGTTTCTCGTTTTCTTTCATTTTCGTCTAAAACGATATAGTGAGCATCGGCATGTCTGGTATGCACTTGGTGTGTTATTTTGAGAGATTTTAAATTTGTATTTTCTAAACCCGTGGCGTGTGTTTCGGACCACGTGGTTTAGGTCAGTGTGTTTAGTAGTGTTTCCTAAACTAGTGTGAATGCGTGTGTGCATTTACTTGATTTATTTATGATGTGTTGTTATTGACTAGGATTGGCTTAGTCAATAGTCAGTTGGTTAGACAGTAATTAGATTAGCATATTTTAGTTGCCTCGAGTTTTAGGTTGTTTAAAATTAATGTGTGTGCTGTTTCGTGCAACGTCATGTTGAGTATCGCTTGCTTTGTGTCTGCCTTCATTGGGACCTTAGTGGAGTGTGTTAACTTCAATGTTATCAATATGGATGTTGTTTAGGTAGACCAATGGCTTCGGGCTGCTCCTTGTGTGGGAAAGATTGGTCCTACAATGAATTTGTTTACACGTTATTTTTAAGTTGCTAGTTCTTCTTTAGACAGTGGTTAGTTGTTTTTGAGAATTGCTTTTAGAATTGTATAGTAAGGATTAGTTTTACTCGAGGCTTTAGCTAGATAGAAGTAGTAGGTAGCATTTTGAACTTGTGTATATATTTATGTATATATCTGCCATTACCATGCATTTTTCTTATGTTTCCCTTTTCTTTTTCTCTTTTTTTCTTTTGCTTGGGCAACTTGGCTGGTGTTTTGTTATATATGAATTATTTTGTTTGGTGTAAAAAGTTTGTTGTGTACGGATTTTCTACGTAATGTATTGTACGTAACGTATTGTACGTAGTGGTTTTACGTAGTGTTTTGTTTGGTGTGGACTTTTGGATGTCGAGAATGGATGAAGGGAGGTTTCTGTGTGTCAGGGCCTGGACCATCCTAGACATCATAAGTCGGTGCAACACCAGCAAATGGTCGAACGTAATGTTTTGTTGTATATAAACTGTTTTGTTTGGTTTTGTTTTGTCTGTTTTGTGTCAGTAGTTTTTATCCATTCTTTTTTTTGTGATTTTGATCGGTTCCATGAAATAAATTTTATTAAATTGTTAAAAGTTTTTTTGTTTTTAATTTAGACTAAGGTTAGGTTATTAACCAGTCTGGGTTTGTCCAGGCTTGCACTGACCGGACAGTAGTTAGTTAGATAAGCCTAGAAGGGTAGATTTTAGGTACCCCCCCCCCCCACCTAGCAGGGCTTACATAAAAATGTATTTTTCTTTGAAATGAATAATGATGTATTTATTTTTTATTTATTATGTCTAATTTTATTCATCAAACATTTCAAAATTACTTACATCACATCAATTCTTTTACTCTTAAAAATACATTTAAACATCTGTTCCTTCGGGTACATCCTGTGTTTCTCATCAAAACATTCATGATTTGTAAAGTTATTGAAGCAATAGGGCTCATTAAAAATATAAAATGAGTTTTTGAGATAGTTATTTCTTCCAAAATGAAAATCCAAACCTAGCACAACACTAATACACAATAAATATTGTTATAATTTATAATTTAATATAACATCAATGTCAGATATATTACAAATAAAATCATGTAGTAGTCAATAAGGCATCGTAAAATAACTGCAAAGCAAGGTGTTTTGCTTATGAACCTACTACTATTTATAATATGGAGTTAAGGTGGGGTTAAAAGCCCCATACATAATTTTTACCATTTTAATTGAACATGTTGAGAAATCAATACAATTCAAGAGTACCCAAGTTATGAAAAGTATAGCTGCGCTGATGTGTGTATAAATCAAAATAATACTACTAAAGGATGTGCGTTTTTTAAATAAATATCTGGCAATAGCAAAAACAATAAACAAGTAGGATTTTTCCGAAAATGAACATCTTTGAAGAACTAGTGTTGCATGAAAATAGGAACAATTAATACAAATAAAATCCTTTAAAATATATTTAAAAGCATATACAATTTTAAAATTGTAAAAAAAAAAATAATTATCTTTCTCCATTTAACACCATGCCATTTATTTAATGAAAACTATTTGAATTGTGTAAACCATTCATATGACCATTAAGTGGCTGTTTTACTATCTTAGTAATGTGATCACCTGAAACAGGTTTGAATGGTGAAGTTAGAAGAGCATGCTGAAGCTCTGATAGTATTAGTTTTGCTTATACTCTAATCCCATGTTATTAATGGGTGTTAAGCCCATACAAGCACGGGAAATATTGTCGATACAAGTCCTTTGTTTAAATAATGCATTTACAACAAGGGTACCTCTTGGAGCAAGGGCAGCTTTACATAGTATACTAAATATGGACAATGCAGCATTAAATTTATGGAATTCAGTTTCATTTCATTAAATCTATGGAATTGAGTTTGAAGTGAATAATGAAAATAGTACAAAACTGTATCAATGGAATGGCAACGTTGGTTAAACGATATCTTCGCTTGTCTTTCAAATCAGTAAAAAACAATGCTGTTGCGTTTATGTTTGCAATAACAGTAATATTTCAAACATAGAACAAACGCACATCTATGATTTTTTACATCATATTTGAGACACTTTAGTTATGTTTTTCTGTCTAATTTCACAAATAGGCTTGATTTATTGTTCTTTTGTTTAAAATTGATTTATCAAAAAGGTTTAGTCAATAGTTAATTACTTCCCTTATATAATAACCAAATAGGAAAAAAAAATATTGATTAATACTTTTCAGCATCGGAAAAATAAAAAAACATTTTTTTTTTAAAAAATGTGCGACATTGTATCGAATCCTATGGATACATTTAACATTAACTAATAAAGAAATTATGTAACCATGTGTGATACGTAGGCGTCACTAAAAGAGATGGTCAAATGTAGCTCAATTTAAAGTTGTGCGTGTGTTCAA